GTGTCACTCCCCACCCCCTTCGCCACTACCTCATCCCTTCCCTTTTTTTTTTCTTTCTTTTTTTTTTTTTCTTCTCTTCTCCCCTTCTCTTCCCTTCTTCTGTTCCCGACCACCGAACCACGCGGACTCGATATCGCGGTTCGTTCGCTCGGAGGGTGGGGAGTGGAGAGGGGGATGAATCGTTGCTGTTGCTGGTTTTTGGGAGCTGGTTTATTTATTTTTTTTTTTTTTCCCTTTTTTTCGATCTCTCTTTCTTTATAGCGCGCGGATTACCGAGGAAAATTGAATTTTTGCAACGTGAGCAGGGGAGGAAGGGGTTCGTAATTCATCGTTCGAACGATCGATCGAATGAATTTCTCGCCTCGTGGCTGTTGCTTCGATCTTCGATGTTCTTATATTTTGAAGATTAAAAAAAACGGCGAGAAATTGTTAAACGATCGAGGAAGAAGAATATTCCAATTAACAGCGGTTTTCGTAATCCGCGTACGTTCACGAAACCGAGGGCAGTTTGGCTCAAAGCTTTTTCGCGACTTCGCCTCGTTTCCACGAATATGAATATGCATGCGGTGTACCACCGTGCGCTTGTGAGATATTTACCGAACAATTTTATTGCGTTCCCTCGTATTATGCAAACATAGGAGAGCGTAAGGACAGTGTAGGGGGGGGTAGAAGTATTTTTTTGTTTTTTTTCCGCCAGGAGGCTGCGCTATTTCAATATGTACGACAACCTGTAAAATGGTACTCGCCTTTTCTTTACCTTTGCACGAGTACTCGCATCGCGCATGTACTTCCACCTTCGTTATGTAATAACCAAGCGTATGAAAAGGAATCTACTAAAGTATTTCTTCTTCTCATTCCTTTCTTTTGCTTCTTTTTTTAATTAAAACAAAACGTATCTCTGGAACGTATCTTTTCATATCTAAAAGATACACTTTTCATTAAAATTTCACGAAAAAAAGGTGGCACACTTTTCATAAAATTTTCTTAAATATTCTACGAAATTTCTACTAACGACGGGAGGTTAAAAAAAAATTTGTTTTGTTCGAGGAGAGATTTCGATAAATGTCGGAATCGAATAGAATCTGATCGAGAAGAAAATTGTCTTTTAAATTCGAGCGTCGTCGATATCGTATCTCTCAATTCGAGAGTTTCTCTTTTCTCGCCAAGTTATCGACGTCGAAACTTCTCGATCATCGATATCCGAGAATGATCGATATCGAACACTTTCCAGTCTCCAGATTCTAGATGTCGTTCATGGATGGAATCCTTGGAGCGTCGAGGCTCGTTTAACACCCATCCAAGTTTATCTCGTCTCTGGTATCCTTGTCCATCCTATTCTCCATCCTCCGTGTTATCATCATTAGCATTACTCTCGATGGAGGAGAATTTAAAAAGTCAAATCCTCTCGTGAAACGACCACGAGTTTTGTCAGTTGCGAAACGATTCTAGCCTTTTCACTCGAAGCGAGGATCCCAACGGCACGAGCGACGCATAAATACACGTTTCATCAAAGTTGAAATTGGACACTTGGCCAGTCAGTTCGTTAGCCACGATTGCTTTTTCCCGCCGATAAAGGGGTGCTCGCGGAGGCCGCGTGACCGAAGGGGTTTCTAAAAAGCGCGTTTGTTCCAGCCAGGCTAGCAATTTCATCCGATATCGCGAAATAAAAAAGAAAGAGAGAGACTTCCCCGCGTGACGATACATTCAATTCACGATGCAACGGCTCGCTTTAATGCCGTGCTTCGCGGCCATTTTTATAACCGCGAACACCTGTTTTTGCGGCAACTTCGTATCCTATATCTCGTTGCTTCGTCTCGTTTTTTCCCAGCTAGTGATAGACTCGAGCGTCGACAACGATTTTAATTCATCCAAAAATTTTGAACAATACGAAATACAATCGTTCGTTTCTATATACTCGTGAGTTTTGAATTTCGCAATTTCGAGTGTTGGTGATCTTTCCAAAGATGAAGCGAAAAAACGTATGCGGCTCGTCGATCCATCTACACACGCGATCGATTCGTACCCATCGCTACTTCCGTTCCCATCGCTTTACAAACGACAAGCGCGTTCGTTTAACTTGCAGAACGCGCGCGATACAAGCGTAACAATTCGCGTGACATCCATAAACTATTTGCACGATATTGAACTATACGAGTCAACTTTGGCCAGGTTATCCGCCTCGTTTTATTTACTTCGTCAACACCCCCGCGACCGATGTCGATTATCCTACACTCGCGTCTCCCTATTTTACAAATAACGCGTTGCCCCTGTGTGAAAAAAAAAAAAAAAAAAAAAAAAAAAAAGAAAAAAAAAGAAAATATCCGTTCAAAGGAACGATAATAACAGGCTTTTGTCGCGGGTGATACCCGATATCACGTCGATACCGTATTAATAATTTGACAAGCTTTCACTTTTAACGACGCCAACGTATTTCCACCAACGTTAAACATTTGATGGTTGCCGCTTTGCGCCGTAAATTTTCCGGTCTTACAGTTTTTTAACGAGCCCCAAGCGCTGTGAACGCTTCGATGCCGTTGGGCGAGTAAATTTTCCGGTGTTTCATATTTTCCTCTCTTCTCTTTTTTTCCTCTTTTTTTTTTATTTTCTCCTCCCTTCCTTTTTTTCTTATTTTTTGTTCTTCCCTTTCTTTTCCTTTCTTTTTTCCACGACTTTTTTTTTTCAATCCCGCCTCCTTTCGCGAAAGGGGAACAACAGGCTCCTCGAGCAGAGGTTCTAGTATAAATAATGCTCGGAGGAGATCGTAAAAAAAAAAAAGAAAAAAAAGAAAGAAAGAAGACACCGGGAAGATTAACCGGCGGATCTCTTACTTACTCTCTTGCTTACTTGACGGGAGCCCGATGTTTTCGAAGGATATTATAGAAGAAGCGGGGGAGAGAAGAAGAGGGGAAGTGTCGAAAGATTCGAGGAAAATTGAGCGGGAGAATGGAAATTTAGTCGAGGTGTTTCGCCACCCACGTTTTAGTAGATGGTTCTCTTTAAGCGGATTGAGAGGGGAAGTAAGTGACATAAACCTCTTAAGATCGTGCCTATATCCGATTAAACTGAGCGGTGTATTTTATTTTCTGAATAAACAGTTATGTGCGGGCCCGATTTTAAAAATTAATTGATTTCCACGCGAGCATGCTCAACGTTTGGAATACGAATTATTTCCACGGAAAATTTTTCATAAGAGACATGATAAAATATGAAGTGTCTTTCTTTTGACAAGGAAATACGATAAACAACATACAATGTACGAGTGAAATTCGATGGACAACAAATTTTTTTGTAAATGTTTGCAGAACACCGAAGAGGAGGCATCGCCGTCGAAAGATTCCTCTAATCAGACGAGACTCGGACGACTCCTCGGACGAGGTGGTGTCGTTTCACGATCGGCAGTTACGCTCGATCCAGTTCTACGACATGGAGCACAAATCGAAACACGCGGCGAAGAAACGCGGCTCGACGAGGCAGAGATTTTCGAGCAGGGCGAGGAGGGCTGCGACGGCTCGCAAGGAACGGGTATGGGATCACGGGGTGATCCCGTACGAGATCGATGGAAATTTTTCCGGCGCCCACAAAGCTCTGTTCAAACAGGCGATGAGGCACTGGGAGAATTTTACTTGCGTTAAATTCGTTGAAAGGGTCCCCCAGGAGCATCCTAATTATATACTGTTCACGGAGAGGCCTTGTGGGTGAGTTTGGCCAACGCGTGGACGGAGAGAACATTTCGTTTTCGGAGCAGAACTCCTTTAACCCTTTCCTTCTTCGCTATTTTAATTAGATAAATCTTTTCTTTTTTTTTTAGAATATCAATTCTTACGATTTTCTGTTGGGTGAGTGTGGTCAACGGAGAAAACATTTCGTTTCCAAGCAGAACTCTTTTAACCCTTGCCTTCCTCGCTATTTTAATTAGATAAATCTTTTCTTTTTTTGTTAGAATATCAATTCTTACGATTGTCTTGTGGGTGAGTTTGGTCAACGGAAAAAACATTTCGTTTTCAAGCGGAACTCTTTTAACCCTTTCCTTCCTCGCTATTTTAATTAGATAAATCTTTTCTTTTTTTGTTAGAATATCAATTCTTACGATTGTCTTGTGGGTGAGTTTGGTCAACGGAAAAAACATTTCGTTTTCAAGCGGAACTCTTTTAACCCTTTCCTTCCTCGCTATTTTAATTAGATAAATCTTTTCTTTTTTTGTTAGAATATCAATTCTTACGATTGTCTTGTGGGTGAGTTTGGTCAACGGAAAAAACATTTCGTTTTCAAGCGGAACTCTTTTAACCCTTTCCTTCCTCGCTATTTTAATTAGATAAATCTTTTCTTTTTTTGTTAGAATATCAATTCTTACGATTGTCTTGTGGGTGAGTTTGGTCAACGGAAAAAACATTTCGTTTTCAAGCAGAACTCTTTTAACCCTTTCCTTCCTCGCTATTTTAATTAGATAGATTTTTTTTTTTTTTAGAATATCAATTCTTACGATTTTCTTGTGGGTGAGTTTGGCCAACGGATAGAACATTTCGTTTTTCGAGTAGAACTCCTTTAACCCTTTCCTTTCTCGCTATTTTAATTAGATAGATCTTTTCTTTTTTTTAGAATATCAATTCTTACGATTTTCTTGTGGGTGAGTTTGACCAACGCGTGGACGGAGAGAACATTTTGTTTTCCGAGTAGAACTCTTTTAACCCTTTCCTTCCTCGCTATTTTAATTAGATAGATCTTTTCTTTTTTTTAGAATATCAATTTCTTAGGATTTTCTTTCTTCTGGTTTCACGGTGTTTGTTAACGATTTTAAGATGCTGCTCGTTCGTCGGGAAGAGAGGAAACGGGCCACAGGCGATAAGTATCGGGAAGAATTGCGACAAGTTTGGAATAGTCGTCCACGAGTTGGGCCACGTGGTTGGTTTTTGGCACGAGCATACCAGACCCGATCGCGATCGCCACGTGCAAATTATCCGTGACAATATCATGTCCGGTAAGCGAAACTTTCCATCTTCTTGCATACAAACAAACAACGTTAGAACAATCAGATAAATTTATTAAAAAGGAAATATATTTTATCTATCGTAATCCTCAGGATTCGATTTGGGGAACGTAATGTAAATTTTACGTAAATATACACGAGATTAATTCGATTTATCGCAAAGGATCGAAAATCATAAATAATTTAATGAAGTGATATTAATTCGAATTAATTTCCTGCCACCTAATAGATCGAATCGCAGCGTAAAAGCAGCGCCAATTAGCGAGCCCCTTTCGATGTTTACGCGAATATAAATTTATTAGCCGTGGAAATTAATTCGTTTATTCACGATGGTCAAACCGCGCCACGAATAATTTAAACGGCATTAATTCCCAATGGGTCGAGTCGGTGTCGATTCGCGAGCACACCTCGTTACGTCCCATCTTCGATGAATAACGCGGCAAATCGTCACGAGAGATTCACGATGGCGATATAGAATCGAATTAATTCGATTGATGCATCGAAGAACGGGATCGTTTCCCGAGAACAACCTTGGATGTGTTTGGTGAACGTGAGAACGATCCCTCGCCTTCGTGCTCCTTCGTGGCTGAATCTCGGATTTCTCGCCGGGAAAGCGTTTGCCTTCGCGGCGAATAGGTGTATCAGATTAATGGGCCAATTTGGATGGCATGCAAATCTCACCAATCATTAGCGATGACAACTAATCGGGGAGAGGGGCATGCGTATTCTAATATTTACACTGTGCGCGACAATCCCCCTGGCTGCGACACCGATCGCATCCCGATTAATGGATACTCATAACGCGAATGGTAACGAGCTGTTTAATTACCGAGCACCATCTGTTTACCCCGTTGAAATTACACCTTGAGCCACGCTTATCCACCACGAAAATCATTCGACGATTCCATCCAATAGATCTTGTTCCCCCACTTGTTTTGTTGAGAATAGCGATGGGATCGAGTTCGATCGAGGCTCGTTTTGATTTTAGAGGTTAATAGAGAATTTCAAGGTATCGCTTCTTTTTTTATATCTTCGAAATATAACGTGGTAAGATTTGAACTTACTTGTGATGCACTCGATCCCATCACTAATGGTCGAACCGCGAACGTTGAACGATCGAATAACGCGTGTTGAACACCGTCGAAATCACGTCGTATGACGACGAGATAGGAAATGGTTGACAATGTCGAGAAACTGTTAGACAGCAACTGGGATGGAATCGATCGGCTTTGTTTCTTCGATGGCACGAGTTTCCAACTATATATATATATATATATATATATATATATATA